ATATTTTTAAGGCATTTAAAAGGGATGTTACACATAAGATAGACTAGGAGTTATGAAATGTTATATGTACAAAATACCTGGAATAGTGTCTGGAACAAAGTAGGTACCAAATAAATCCTCTGTCTCCTTTTTGCTGTCTTTAATAGGGCCTGAGAGCCTGGCCCTGCTCTGTAACTCTGTCCTTTAAAAGGCTTCTGTCATTTAAACTCTCTGGACTGCAGCTCTCAAAAGGTCCAGAAATGAGTCCACAAAATCTAAAATATTATGCCTAATACACAGTAAGATTCACAGGTGAAGGATGTGACGCCATGCATCCAAATGTACAAGCCAGTAGCTGCAGAAGTTGGGAGTGGTTTTTGTCAGGATATTCTTCTCAGTGGAGAAAGAAGCCATTAGTCAAAACTGGCACATCTACAAGCAAACCGTCTCGGTTGTTTTAATAAATGTCCTAGCAGAGTTCAGACATCATGTACTTTTAAAAATGTACCCTGTACCCTATTCTTTTTTTTCTCTTGTTGTCAAGGAAGCTTGAAATTTCTTCAAATTAGACAAGAGTCAATTGCAATAGTGTGTTTCTGAAATTTCTAGAGATGTATGAGAAAGTGCTCTGTTAGGTGGTGATATTTTGTGAACCAGTACACATCACTCCACTCAGTAAGAACTCTAGCTATTTTCACAAGCCATCTCAATAACCCCAGGGTTTTCGCAGAAGGACTGTCAGAATACTCTCACCAGAGCCCCCACTATTTTATGGGCAATTAGAAATCCATACACAAATGCAAAAACACAATAATAATCAAAAGAAGGCAGAAATATGACCTGAACAATACTTTCACTGAAGGGCAGGCAGTAAGGCAAAGAAGGCCCTAACACCCTTTCCCTACAGATTCCTTTGCTTATTATTTTTTTATCCTCTGTGACCTCAGAATGTGATTGCTATATCAGATTGGCAGAATACCATATAAAGCAATTTATGGCTTTGGAGTGGGGTAGATCGCTCAGCACTGTTTAGAGTCTGAAAGGACCTCATAGAACATCTAGTCCAATCCCCTCATTTTACCCAAGAGGAAAGAACGGTTCAGAGAGATCACTGGACTTACAGAGGACAGACGGATAATTAGTCCTGAAGCAGTAACTGAGGTCATTGGACTCCCAATACATTAGCCATAAGTGCCTTAATTGGGGATAGAAGATAAAGAAAAAATGTGAAAAAATAAAAGAGAGAATGTATTTAGATTTTTTGTGACCTTAGGAGGCTGATGAAAAAATACTATCTTATATAGTCTAAGAAAAAACAAGTTTTGGTTTAAAGGCTCCAGTAAAGAGAAGGTTGTACAAATTCTTCAAATATTTAGTTCTGGGCTCTTTTTGCTCCTCCTGCTTTTCTGTTAAGATAGTATGATTAATAGTTTATTAGAGAGTCTCTATATTAAGAAAGCATAATGGTCTATCTTGTATCTTCTTTGGTTCATTTCCTTTTCCCAGTGGGAAGTGATAACATAAACATGGAATAGGTATGAACAAATTGAACATTTTTCTTGGTATGACTAGTGCAACAAGATTTAAGTAATCACATATCCTAAATATAAAGAAAATAAATAGTACACATATTCTTTTTCAACTTTTCTGCAATCGTTTTTGTGAAGTAGTACTTAGAAATACACAGAAAATGAGACAGAAACATTTCAACTGGTATTTTATATTCCTAGTTTGTGCTGTATCATTAGACAAATGGAATAGCATCTAAATATTTTGCAATTAACCAATCAGCCTCCTTTATGTTAAAGAATTTCAAAGTCCCTTTGAAGGCAAAACTTGACTTGTAGAGTGATGAAATTCATGGCTTAAACAAAAGTTCAGGAATGAAATAGCATCTGTAGTTAGTGTGATCAAAGGCTTATTTTTTGCCATTATTTTTAGTAAATATTAACAATATAGAGAGAAATCGTGTGTTGATTGTGAGATTTACATGACTGTGTTGGAGTGCTTACCCTTCCTTGCTTTGAAAAAGCAGCCACAGTTTTTGTCAGTGGTTTATCCTTTGCTGACTGTGGAATTTTTTTTCCCTGTCTTTAATTGATTTAGGGTGCAACGTACAACTGGGTACCCATATCCCTGAAGTGTCTGGTTCTGAAATAAAAATGAAAGTTGAAAGGTATTGAAGTGGGATGAAGGGGCCGCTTTAATTGCCTCAGGGAATCTCGTAACCAATTTTCATTTGCCTCATTGGTGCCCTTGAATAAAAGAGAATGGAGGTCGGTAGCAGAAAAGAAAATCAGGGAATCTTCAAAAAATCACGCGCGAAAAGCAACACGAAAGTAGGAGATTTTTTTTTTTTTTTTTTTTTTACAATAACAGTGCTACCATTGTGTGCTGCGACTTCCTGATGATTTTATTTCTTAATCACGATAGATAACCCTCCCCCAAAATCACCATTTTGTGACCCCAGGAGCAAAGTTATACGGGGTCTGCGTACCCAAAACATTAAAACGATTCAGCTTCTTCGGAGTAATCAGGTACGATGACAGTCATACACCGGTTGGGATCAGGCGTTCTTTTGCATTTGCTTTTATTTGAATGAAACAATGTTTCCTGCATAATAATGACAAAACTGGTAAACAAGCCTGCAGAGAGCGCGGTGACTGGCTGCAGCTCGCGTCTCCACGCCTCGTGCAGAAGGAAAACGCTTTCTCCCCTCACTCCCCCGACCCCATGGCGCCGGTAAGCCCCGCGCTGGCACCGCGGCGAGCGCGTGTCGGCTTCCGGGAGCTGAGCGAGGCCGCGCGGTCTGGGACGCACGAGGGAGGGCGCCGTCGCTGCCGCCCGGCCGGGCCACTGGGTGGGCGCAGGGCGGGCCACGAGCAGGAGGCTCACGGGAGGGGGTTCGCACCCCGGGCCGTTCCTGCCGCAGCGCGTCCTGCCTGCGCTTCAGCAGTGCTCAAGGTGGGGACCCCTCGAGGACAGTGGTGCGCCGAGGGCTCTCCCGGCCCCTCCCTCCCCACGGGCCCCGCTGTGTAGTGAAGGAGCCAAAAGAGGTGACTGGGGTGTTGAGACCCGGGGCCTGAACTGCGGATAGTGTCCCGAGCCCACACTCCAGATTCCTGGACCCCGCGGTCGGTCCAGCAGCTTCCACCTGGAGCCGCCTCCGGGCTCACGGGGGAGGCGGCAGGGCGCGGGTGAGAGGGTTATTGTGCCCGGTTCTGTTGGTTGGAGGAATCTCTGCTTTATGCGACCCACAGGGAACACAGCCCGGGGCTCCAGCTTGGCCTCCCCAGTGGCTGGGGATTGGAGAGCTGGCGGGGCCGCAGACTCGGCCTAGAGTTTAAAGTGTGCCGCGCGGCGAGTCGCTGGACGCTTCTGGGTCTCACGTGGCTCCTGTGTCACTTAGAGTGACAGGCCGGTGGAAGGCGCTTCCGTCGTCGCCAGGCATGCTCCAAGGTCTAAGGAGGCAAGATTTTCCCATACTGGTGGCGCAGGGGTCCTCCCGGCCGTCAACGCCCGCCCGGACCTCTCGGCTCGGCGGACCCTTTGGATGGAGCGGCGCCCTCCAGGGTCGCGGCGGGGCGAGCGCGGCTTCCCGGCACGTCCCTCTGTTTCTTTAGATCGGCTCCGGCCCCGCCGTTCGGAGAGGGCCCGCTGAGGACCCTTGCCCGTGCCGCGCGTGGTCAGCCCCGGTCCCCTTACTCCATGGCCAGCCCCCAGCCCTTCCGAGAGGTCACCTGTCCTAGGGGGTGCAGGGCGAGGGAGGGCGGGTGGAGCTGCCAGCCTACGGGAACCTTGAGGACCTCTTGGCCTGCTGGGGAGGAGGACTGTGAGAGGGGTTCGCGGACACAGAATGGGAGCACTGGGGGATTTCACCCCCTGTGGCAACCATAAGGACCCTGAACGGACGTGTCCATTCGCGATTTCGCAGAAATACACAGTGTAGACCCACAGCCGCACGTCCTCGCGGCCCCCTAGTTAAGGGCGCAGCGTTCTTTGCAGGCTCTTGGTCTTCCCTACGAGGGCGTCTCCGGCTCTTCCGCACTGAGGACGTTTCGTTAGGGCTCTGCGCGGCCACTGCACCTACGGCCCTAGGAACTCCGCGATCCTCTCCAGGCGCCCCGGACGGACGCCCAGCCCAGCCCGGGGCTCACGGCCGCCGGAGCTCTCCAGCGGACCGCCTGGCCACGCTTCACCAGGACGCCAGCGACGATTCTTTTCCCGCCCTCTGAGAACGGACTAGCCAGGTGCCCCCTCGAGACGCCATGGCGAGCTTGGCGACCTGGCAGCTCGCCGGGGCAGCCCCAACTTCATTTCCTGTCCCTTGGGGCACATTTCCCTGGAAAAGCTCTCCTCGGCCCCTCCCGCCCTCCCCGAGGGGCCTAGACGTGGTTCGCAGCTGAACGAAAGGGCTCTATTTAAGCTCAGGGTGGGGTGGGGCTGGCGGGGCCGAGTTTGCTCTGGGGGTTGAATTTCTCTCCGCCCCCAGCGATCCCCGGCGGATGAAGCGCCAGTTTGTGCCCTGGGTCGGCTGAGCCATTGGAAACCCAGCGCACTAACCGCGGCCAGGGAAGCGCGGAGTTTGCCCAGTTGTCCTTGCGGAGGGCTGTGCGGAAACGCCCGCGAGGGAAACTTTCTGAGATCGAGTATGGAGGGAGCTCACAGAAAGGAGGAAGGAGGGGGCGGCGTGGGCGTGGACGGTGCCGGGGTTCGAGGGTGCCCGCCTGCCTTTTGCCCGGGGAGCGGCGCGGCGCGGGTGGAGGAAGGAGCCGATCAAGTCTCGCAGGCTAATTGGCTTAAGAAATTTTGCAAGCGCTGGAAAAGGTCGTTGAAGGAGTTCGCTGCACGCGCGCGCGCACACACACACACTCACACACACGCGCACACACGCGCGCGCATACACAATCTTGGAAGAAAAAAAGAGCGCGGAGCATGCGCACAGAGAGGATGCCATATTGGAACGAGGCTGTAGTGGGAGCCGGAGGACCGGAGCGGGCGCGCGAGGGAGGCGGCGGGCGGGGAGCCAGCGGGCAAGGGCGGGCAAGCGAGTGAGCGAGGCCGGCGCCCTCTCGGGCAGTGCCCGGGGCCTGGGTCCACGCCGAGGGCAGGACGCACTTCAGCAGGTAGGACGCCGCGCCGGCCAGTGTCCCGGCGCCCCGCCTGGCCCGCGAGCAGCCCTCCGGCCCGCAGGTTGAGTGCGCTGGGCAGGGGCTTTTTCCAGTCAAGGGGGGGAAAAAAAGGGAAGAACAAGCTAGCAGGGGTTGGAGGTGGGGGGTGGGGGAAGGCCGGGGACAGTGCTGGGGAGCGAAAGAGAAGGGCCGGAGGAGAAAGCGGCGGCACTTGAGCGAAGCCTCAAACTCCTCTGTGCGCTCCAGGTTGTCATTTTTGCTTCCCGGGTCCCCTTCGCCTCGGAAGAGCCGGGCCTTGCGGGAGTCTGTCCGGAGTTGCAAAGTGTCCTCCTCCCCAGGGCGCAGCCTGTCGCCTCCCGCTGCCCACCCTCCTTGTTTCTGCGCTCATTTTAGCCACGCAGCCGCCGCGGCTACCTACCCCGCGCTGCCGTGTCTCCTCCGCGCTGGGGTCTCCCATTTCTTTTGGTTTGGGTGGGAGAAAAAGATGGTGGGGACAGGGGATCGAAGACCGGCTAGGGGGTAACAACACATCGTGCAGACATTCGGAATCTCCCCCTTGGAAACATTTGCCCGAGCGACTGAAATGAAATGGACAGTAGTAGTTTCGGAGCGTGCTCCAGCGAGGATGGTCTTTTTGTTCATTTTTTTTCTATTTAAAGTAATATCCTGTCACTTGGGCCCTTTCCGGTTTTCTCCTCTTATACGACCCCTTTTCAAAATTACTCACTTGAGCTGGCTCTGGAGTTAATTTTTTAAATATGCGAGCGTGTGTATGTGCATGTGTGTGTGTTTTGCAGAAATCCGCCAAAATGCAACTGTAGGAACTGCTAGATGTATTTATTGATTTTGACTCGGGGAGGTGGGAGGGGGCTGGCCAGAGCTGCGGGATCCTGGGGGGTGGGAAGTGGCTGATTCTTGGTGGCCGGACGCACATCCAGAGCCCGATCCATACTCGTGTTTTCTTGGAAGCGCCACAACTGCGGGGAAGGAGTCTTTAGACACCGTGCCAGTTTCAATATGGCGGGCTAAGGTGGCTTTTAAAAACTGAAAATAAAGGTTTTGAGGTGGGAAAAAACCCAGCTGAAGTTTCCACCCCTTAGTTTCGACTCTCTTTGGCTACCCCAGGAAGCGCTTTAGCGAATTAAGTGGGAAAACAGAGAAGGAATGGGATGGCCTGTTTTTTTTTTCCATGGTTGGAGTCTGTGTGTCAAGTACATTGCTAGGGAGGAAAGGGATGGAGAGGTGCCGGACAAGGGCATCGAAACGCAACTGCCGTTCGTGCCTGTGGATTCATGTGCAGGCCTGTGTGTGCGCAGCTTTTTTTGAGGGTGTGTGTGTGGTTGTGTGTGTGTGTCAAAGACAACCAACCGCCCCGAATGTGTGTATGCGTCTTGGAACCAGACCCTGCCATGATTTGACGTGACAAACTGCGGACACGTGGTGCAAAATACAGGAGGGCAGAGGGGGTGATTTATTTTGGCTTTCTCGGAGACGAGCTAGCTCTCGCCTTGCGTGTGCTGGATCTTGCGCGTGTAGATCCCCAAGTAGGTGGGGCGAGAAGGTGCTTATTAAAAGGACTAACTGTCCCGGGTACTGGGTGCAGTCGGGCTGCAGAAGCCAGCGGGATTTCGTGTGTGCAGGGGGCGCGCTGCACTTCCTGGTGTGGTCCTGCTTCCTCCACGCGGCGCTGGGGTGGGAGATGGGGGACCAGGACCGAGACTTGGAGAAGACCTAAGTGGTGGTGGCGGTGGTGATGGTGGGGGTGGGGGTGGTGCAGAAGGGCGGGAGCGGCGGAACTCGGCAGACCCGCACGTACCTTGGAGGCGAGGGTTGCCCTCCTTACTTTTGGGTTTCCGCACTCTAGGGAATGTGGGGGATGGGGACAGCGTTTTGGGAAGAAATCGTCCCTTGCTATGCTTAGGAACCCTTTCGGTGCTTCGTGCTTCGGAGAGGAACGTCTTCTCATCGTGTCGGGCACGGAGGCTGGGTGGTCGCCTGGGGATGTGAGTGGGCGGCGAAGTGCGGGGTCGGGAGTTGGGGGGTAAGGTCGGCGTTGCAGGGAGGGGAGGATTTGGGAGTGGAGTTTGGAGACAAAATCAGGGTCAGGCAGAGGAGCGGGAGGGAAATCCAGCAAACGCGAGCTCCGGTGAGAGCCACCGGATTGCGGGAACACAGCTTAGCTGAGCTGGGAACAGGGGTTCCCGACAGGGGTCGCCCGTGGCCATGACGCGGCTGCTTAACAGAGGTCCCGCGGTGGTGTCTGCCCCAGGGACCTCGGGGGCGGGGGCCGCACGGGGACCGCGCATGGTCCCTGGGGCTTGCAGGTGGGGGGGGGGGACCTTCTCGGGGCCCCGAGAACCTGACTGCGCAGTGGCAAGTGCCTGGAGGCATTTTTAAATGACAGGGGTACAAAGACGTGGTGACCAGGTCTGTAGTTAGCGCAGCAACGTGGTTTGCAGGAGCTCAGAGCGAGGCTGGACGGGGTCACTCGGACGCCACGCTGTTGGTGGGTGGGGGCCGGGGGTCAGCGGCACTGGCTTGCAGATCCCCGGCTGGTTACCCCTCCCACCTGGCGGCTGGGCTGAGCAACGGCGACGGGCGACGTGCTGGCCAGGACGCGTCCCTGGCTCCTCCAGCCGGCGCTTGGGCGCGCCCTCCCGGTGCCAGCTTTCCCGTGGGCCACGCGAGGTGGGGAGCAGCTTAAAATGGCTCTGTGCTGGGAAGCTGCAGTTTCAGCCGCGAACCCCTCCCCTCGTCCTCCTGACGTCGCCGCTGACAAGCGCACAATTTACTCCAACGCCCCGAAACCCGCGATTTTGCACTCGGCCGTGCAGTGGAAGCGGATGTACAGTTGATTACAAAAAAGATTCCACAGGATTCTCGCAGGGCCCAAGTTTTTCCTTCTGGTGGGGAGGAGGGAGGAGCTGAGACGCGGCAGGAGCCCGGCCGACCCCTGCCCTGGCACCCAGGGGCTCCGGGTGCATCGGGGGTGGGGGACCTGGATGCTTGAAAAGCCCCAGGGAGTTCCGGGGACGGGGATGGGGACCCTGCGGGGCGATGGCCATGGACGCCGGTGCTTGGGCTTGATGGCGTTTGCGGTGTCCTAGAATCCTGGATGACGCCAGAAAGCCGGAAAGCCTGGGAGACCGTTCCCAAACTAATAAGAGACCAGTTCGCAGTTTCGCTTTCGGAATTTTCAGGATCTTTGGGCTTTTAGAGTTGGGTGGGATTCCGAGAAGGCAAGGTGACGCTCATGCCCCTGACGATCTATCGGGCGCCCGACTTCTTGCCCACTCCAGCGTTCCCCACTTTGCGTCCCTGGACCTCGCCGCCCGGAGCCGAGTTTGGGGTTCCGGGGCTCTGCGCGCCGCCCCCCCGACCGCGTCCTGAGGGCTCCCGAGGTGCAGCCGCGGTTGATCCGAGCCCATTGGTGGGAAACCGCTTTCACGAGGCCGACCCCTCTTGAATCTGGCAGCGTTGCCGCTGCCCTGCACTCTCCGTGCCCCCTCCACCCTTGCACTGTAGAGAAGGGAATTGGGAGACCCACTGGCGTGTCTACACCAAGGGAATGGACCCAGGTTCCACCGGGTCGGAGAAGAGGCGAAAGCAGGCTTAAATGTGGCCTTGTTTCCTGGGGAGGCTGTTGGGGGTGGGGAGGGAGTTGAGCAGTAACGGGTGGGGGAGGGGATAGGCCTTGTGGCTCAGAAGGAATTGTTCGCTAGGCCCTCCCTGGAGATAGGAGGTCTGCTACTTTTTCCCTACTAAGCATTAAATTTGCACACACTCTGCTTTCTCCCTTCCATAAATAAATATTGTCTCAGATCTTATCTTTGCTCTTGCTGGGACCAAGCCTGCAAGAGAGTAGGAGATACCCAGGCACCCTCCCCCCGCCCCGCCTCCCCTCCTGCCGACCCTCTAGGTCCCCACCAAAGAGTTTACTGCTTGTAGGACCCATTCCTGGGCCAGTGAAGAACACTCGCGGTGGCAGGGGGTCTTGCAGCCCCCATCCTGGAGAAGAGAGTGGTCACCCATTCTGTTTTGATGTGTGTTTCTCTGGAAGTGCCCGCGGAGGCCTGCTGAGGTGGGAACCGTTTCCCATTTCCCACTGGGATATTTCCATCCTGAACCTCAGGCAGCCCGTCCTGCTGGCAGACCCGTTTCAGTAATTATGGGAGTAATGCATCGCAGAGAATTTGTCCTCTTCCTGTGTTCTTGCAGACATTATAGACTAATTTTTTTTTTTAACGTTGCTAGTTATAAATAACTGGCTTCATGATTCTTGACTTAAAAAAGCCGGAAAAGGTTCCTGACTCTTCCCTGTTTTGTTTTCATCATGAAGCTTTCCTGCGAATGCTGGACATTTATCCATTTTTCCATTGTTGCACACTGTAGCTAAGGTGGCATTTTTTTTTTCCCCACCACTGCCCACAAAAAGACTCCCAAATTTGAGAAGAAATACTGAGTGAGGGAAGCGTTGCTCTGAGCAGTGAGAAAATGAGGTTCCATGTAACTAATACAGGATGCTTTTGGGATCTAAGAAGTCCATAAAGGAAATTCACCCTCTCCAGGCTCCATACTTATGCCTAAACGATTTTTTGTCAGATTATCAGTTGTCTTCCTCCTCCTCCTCCTCCTTCTTCTTCATAATTTGAACACAAATAGTTCACTGTGGGACTTGAAGGACCTACAGTTCTACAGTTCTAGTATACTATGTTTGGACATTTCTCTCCTTCTGTTTTCTTACTGTGAATTTTTGAGGTTCTTGGAACAGTGCAGTGGTCAGAAGGAATTTTTACCCTGCTCTAAAGTAAGAACTCATAAAGGTTTTTGTACCAAAATGACATTGGGATCTGTAATTCAGGATGCATTTTGCGGTTTTTCTAACCATTCTTCCATCGATGTTGCCTCAGCAGCAACTTATTGCCCCCATTCTACAAATAAAAAAAAAAGTAGGGAAATTATACTGTCACAACAAACCAGGAAGTCAATGTGTG